GATCCGGGCCGGCGCTGAGAACGTGGCCCCCAAACCCAGCTTCTTGGCCATGCTGATGATGGAGGTGGACCAGTTTGTCCTCACCGCCCTGACGCCTGACATGCTCTCGGCTGAGGATGCCGAGTCGCCGCCCGATCTGCTGCTCTTCAACATCACCTCTCCCTTCGGCCCTGGCCAGGGCCACATGGTCAGCACAGATGACCGGAGCTTGCCCGTCACCTCCTTCAGCCAGAGGGATGTGAGGGAGCTGCGCATCGCCTACCAGCCGCCCGTGGAGGACTCGGATCGCGAGAGGCTCTTTGAGCTCGAGCTGGAGGTGTTGGACCCCGAGGGTGCTGCCTCGGAGCCCTTCGCCTTCGTGATCGTGGTGAAGCCCATGAACACCCTGGCGCCTGTGGTGACTCGCAACACTGGCCTTGTGCTGTATGAGGGGCAGTCGCGGCCTCTCTCGGGCCCAGGTCCCAGCCCCAACCTGGTGATCAGTGACGAGGATGACCTTGAGCAGGTGCGGGTGAGTGTGGTGGCAGGGCTGAGACATGGCCACCTCACGCTCCTGAACTTCACGGTGGCCGAGCTGGCAGCAGGCTGGGTCATTTACCAGCATGACGGCAGCGAGTCTCCACTCAGTGACAACCTGGTGCTGCGGCTGGAAGATGGTGGCTCTCGCCACCGTGTTGAGTTCCTTTTCCCCATTACCCTGGTGCCCACTGATGACCAGCCACCCCTACTTAATGCTAACACAGGGCTCGCCATGGCTGAGGGTGAAACAGTGCCCATCACCACCCGTGCTCTTAGTGCCACTGACATTGACTCGCAGGATGCCATCCTGCTCTTCATAGTGGAGTCTGGCCCCACTGCTGGGCAACTCCTCCTCCGTCAAGCACAGCCACCTCCTGGCTGGGAAGAGGAGGAAGAAGATGAGCACTTCTCTTGGAGGAGGGTGCCAGGTTTAGTGGGGAGCTCTCTCATCTATGAAAAGCCAGTGAGAGAGTGGCTGCAACAGGACATTGTGGAAGGGCGTCTCTATTACCACCACTTCGGGCCTCACAGCCCTGGCCCTGGGGTTGTATTGGACCAGTTTGTCTTTAGAGTCCAGGATGACAATGACCCACCCAACCGGTCGGGACCACAGACTTTTGTGATCCGGGTACATCCCATAGACAGATTAGCCCCAGAGCTACATAGTAGCAGCAGCCTGCACTTAATAGTTGCAGAACAGCAGGTGACCCCCCTGCGGAGGAAACATTTGTGTTACACTGATCAGGATTCAGGGGACCGTGAACTCCGCTACACGATAATCCAGCCCCCAACTGACACTGACACCAACCACCCTCCTGATGTGTATGGAGCCCGCCTTGGATCCCTCGTGCTGACCGAGGATCACTCTGTGGAAGTGTCCCACTTCACCCAAGCCCAGATTAATCATCACAAGATCTCGTACCGCCCTCCACAGGAAGAACTGGGGGTGGCTCCTCATTTGATTCAGTTCCAGTACCAAGTACAAGATGCGGCTGGCAATGCAGCCAAGGGGACTTTCACCATCTATCTGCAGCCTGTGGACAACCAGCCTCCTGAAATCACTAATACTGGCTTCACTTTGCCTGAGGGAGGCAGCCATGTCCTTAGTCCAGCTGAGCTGGATGCCAGTGACACAGACACTGAACTTGCCCATCTGAGATTTATCCTGACCCAGGCTCCTCGGTATGGCCAGTTGCAGCTTTCTGGGTACAGTCTGGTTCCAGGAGGTGTCTTCGGCCTGGAGGATATCAGACAAGGGAGGGTGGTGTATGTGCACAGTGGAGCTGAGACCAGCAGTGATAACTGCAGGCTTGATGTGAGTGATGGGGTTCATTTTGTGCCCATCACACTGAAAATGAATGTGCACCCAGTTGATGATGAGGTTCCTACACTACGATTGCCCCCAGGCACACTTGGTTCCTATCTAGATGTGCTGGAGAATGGTGCTGCTGAAATCACTGCTAATGTCATTCAGGGTACAGATGAGGATACAGATGACTTAATGTTGACCTTCATTGTAGAGGATCCTCCTCAGCATGGGAGCATCCTGGTTCAAGGAGTGCCTGCAGAGAGATTTTCCCAGAGAGATCTGCTGGATGGTGCTGTGGTATATGCTCACACTGGTGGCGAAATAGGCCTTCTGCCCAAAGAAGATACTTTCAACCTTACCTTGTCTGACCTGTCTGAGAAGTGGAGCGTCAGGGGCAATATTGTCCAAGGAGTTTCAGTCTTGGTGACCATTCTTCCTGTTGACAGTCAAGCCCCAGAGGTTTTTCTGGGAGAGCAGTTCATGGTGACGGAAGGTGACAAGCGGGTCATTACTCCTGCTCACCTCAGGGCTGAAGATATGGATACTCCTAGTGATGATATACTCTGCACAATTGTTGCTCAGCCCGCATCTGGGTATGTGGAGAACATTTCTCCAGCACCAGGATCTGAAAAATCCAGGGCAGGTGTAGCTATAAGTGCTTTTACCTTGAAAGACCTCCGCCAAAGGCATATTTTTTATGTCCAAAGTATACATAAGGGTGTAGAGCCTGTTGAAGACAGATTTGCTTTCCGCTGTTCTGATGGCATTAACTTTTCCCAGAGGCACTTTTTCCCCATTGTTATTATGCCAATCAATGATGAAGAGCCTGAAGTCTTTGTGCGAGAATTTGTTGTGATGGAAGGCATGAGCCTGGTTATTGACACTCCTATCCTCAACGCAGTTGATGCAGACGTACCTGCTGATGAGTTAATGTTCACAATCACTAGGCTTCCCAGGCATGGCCACATTGTGAACCAGCTGGTCAATGGTACTGTCCTCGTGGAAAGCTTCACCTTCGATCAGATAACAGAGAGCTCCAACATACTCTACGAACATGATGACTCTGAAACAAAGGAGGACAGTTTTGAGGTGAAACTCACGGATGGTAAACATACTGTTAGGAAAATGGTACTCATCATGGTAATTCCTGTCGATGATGAAACACCCAGAATGGCCATCAATGATGGTTTGGAGATAGAAATAGGGGAAACTAGAACTATTCATAACAGAATATTGAAGGCTACTGATCTCGATTCCGAAGACAAAACCTTGACATACATTATAAGATACGGGCCAGGACAAGGCCTATTGCAGAGAATAAAGCCTTCAGGTAGATTTGAGAATATCACCCTGGGAATGAACTTCACCCAAGATGAAGTGGATAGAAACTCGATTCGATATGTGCATTTTGGCCAAGAAGGAGTTCGTGATCTTATCAAGTTTGATGTGACAGATGGAATAAATCCTCTCATTGACCGCTACTTTTATGTGACAATAGGTAGCATTGATATTGTCTTCCCAGATGTCATCAGCAAAGGAGTTTCTTTGAAGGAAGGAGGGAAGGTAACCCTTACTACTGATTTGCTTAGTACCAGTGACCTGAATAGTCCAGATGAGAACTTAGTTTTCACTATTACCAGACCACCTGTTCGTGGTCATCTTGAATGCACGGATCAGCCTGGGGTACCCATCTCCACTTTTACTCAACTCCTATTGGCAGGCAATAAGATCTATTATATTCACACTTCAGAAGATGAGGTGAAAATGGACAGCTTTGAGTTTGAGGTGACTGATGGCTATAACCCTGTGTTTCGTACTTTCAGAATTTCTATCACTGATGTGGACAATAAGAAACCTGTTGTCACAATCCATAACCTGGTGGTGAGTGAAAACGAATACAAACTGATAACCCCATTTGAACTGACAGCAGAAGACAGAGATACACCTGATGCATTGCTAAAATTCATCATAACTCAAATACCAGTTCATGGTCAGATCATGTTCAATAACTCCAAACCAGTCACCACCTTTACTAAACAAGATCTAAATGAAAATCTAATCAGCTACAAACATGATGGCACAGAATCAGTTGAGGATAGTTTCTCTTTCACTGTCACAGATGGCACTCATACTGATTTCTACGTCTTCCCCAACACTGTGTTTGCAACAAGGAAACCTCAGACTATGAAGATTCGAATAATGGCTGTGGACAACAGTGTACCTCAAGTTGTAATAAATAAGGGTGCTCAGACTCTCCGTATTCTGGCCACAGGTCACATGGGGTTTTTGATTACTAACAAGGTGCTCAAAGTGGAAGACAGGGACAGTTTACATGTTACTCTTAAGCTCAGAATCACAGAGGGTCCACGCCATGGCTTCCTTATCCACCTCGGGAAAGGCAACCATAGCATCACCCAGTTCACCCAAGGTATTACAATACTTAATGCTTTCTTTAGATCACTGTAAATGTTCTTTTTCATGCTAAGCTCTATAATAATTGATGGGAAAAACTTTCCAACAGTGAGCTTATTTATAATGGCTTAATTATTTTTTACATCTGTGTATTACATCTATGACAGCTTTAAAAAAGGAAGTGAGGTCTGCTGGATAAACACTGAATAAAGGAGGTTCTTTGCTTCAGAGAGCTTAGTCCAAATAACTGATTTGGACTTTCTATCGGGGATAGAAGTTTGGATAGCAGAACTGGGTTGCACATCTTTACAGGCTGAATGCTTTCTTTAACCAGTTTTATTTAGAAAATGCTGTGGGAGTGGCCAAGCTATTATTAACTAATGGTCATACCATGGCTAGGGTATCAGTTGCTGTACAGTGTGAGCACACTGAACTGTAAAAGCAAAATAATTTCCCAACCAATGGGGAAATAATATATGATGAATGCATTTGTTGCCTTAATCACACAAATTTTAACCACGAAGTGTTTGTGGTAAATTAAGAGGTAATGTAGATGTTTTAAAATTATTTCAGTGGTACTTACTCTTTACATGGAGCTAAAATATTATGTAGTATAAATAGGGCAAACCCCACATGTTCTATATGTTCTGAAATAGAGCCTCAACAAAAGGCTATGAAGTAATTTTAATGGAAAAGGGAGCATTAGCTATTCTTCAGAGAATTTTCCATGTTACTTTGCAGTGAGTTAATGGCTGGTTAATTAACAATGAAATTAGGTTTTTTGCAGCCTTCTGCAGCTGTGGAATGAGCAGACAGCATAACAGCATTGAGATTCAAAGTTAAAGGGGCCCAACCAGGCTGGGCTAGGTAAATGGTAAGACTGGATATGAACACTTGCAGTTGGCTGTATTTAATTTCACAGAGCCCATGCTGGTACACAGCCATGTTACAGTTGTGGCCGTAGAGATGCTCTTGTCACATATACCAAATCTCTCAAATGGTTGCAGTGCCCTAAGTTTTGCAGTCTTTGTGCAAAAAAGAGGATGACTAAGCCTTGGAGACTACCACAGCTCCTTAAATGTAAAGCTCTGCAGTGAACTGCAGGTAGTGTTGAGAGTATTGTCAGAATAACAGAAACAGAAGAGAAAGGGAGTGAGCAAATAAACAGAATCACCTTTTTTTTGGTGGGTTTTCTCTTACAGTGGAGAATATAGAATTATTGAACAGGTGTTCCTTGAAAGCAGACTGGTGCATAGCACAATTGTATCCATTTATTTTTTAAGGAGGGGTAGCACTGAGGAGAGGTCCATATTCCTTTCTCTCTTGTGCCATGTAGCTAGTCATGCATTTGTTTGATGACCAAAATGAAGTTGTTACGTGACTTTGGCAATCTGACCATGTGGCATGCTCACTGGTCTTCATGCAGGCTTTCTTAATATCCTGGGGTTGCCCAGGCTGAGTAAGAAACATGCAACCCTTAGGAAAAATTGGTTTGAAAGCTAGTGAGGATCCCCAGAAAGTGATGTAACTTCACAGATTCCCTGACAGTACTGGCACAAGCACTCTAATTTGTGTTGGGTTTGTAAGAAATGCACATTTCTTCAATAATTTTGTCTTTTGGCTTCTATAAGTAAATGCCTTCTGAGAATCTGGCATCTCTCTTCTTAACTTCCTGAATGCTTTTTATAATGGTTTGCATTTTATGAAGCAAACATGTAAAATGTCTTCTGAATGCAGGCACAAGCACTTGAGGAGTAAGAGGTGTCTGGGAAGGCTGCATGACAGGCAGAAATCATCAAGCTTACACAGGGGATAATACATCTGCTGAGAGCAGGGAGAGAGAACTTTCTGGAAATCATAGAATAATCTAGGACTAAAAGTCATGGGTGACAGAGTACTAGCTTTTCCTTTCCTTTTTCCTCATATGCCCTCTTATCTGTAGCTGCTTTGGGCATGGGAGAGGTTTTGAGTGACAGGGAGACAAAAATTCTTGGCTGCACCCAGAAGGCTACAGTTTTAGGAAGTAATATGACACAACTCTCTGTATCGTTCACTGTTGTCCCTCACCTTGTGGCCTACTACCATTTATGTGCAAAGCACTGTCAAATTCAGAGTAGTGAATTGAGGTATTTGTTTGCATCCTCTTTACAGCCCCATTAATTGTTGGTCTTTAATTTTCAAACATTTGTGGAAGAGTTTCTTTGGTTACATGTATTTGCTGATAATGCTCTTAACTCGTTTGCCCTAGAAGATATCTGGTTACTTTTGGAACTGAAGATTTTGTGAGGCTCTAGCAAAGGTGCTTCTTGCCTCTTTTTACTCGTGCATCCACCCTAACATCGGAGGAGAACTTGAGTGGTACTTGAGCTCCACTTTAATGCTATTGATTTATAACACTTTTTCTTGTGAAAGGTATCAGGCATGGATTTTTACCAACAGCAGTCTTTCAAAGAAAGTGGCAAAAATTAGTTTCTATGTGTTACATGTTTCTCATCACTATTCAAGGAAACAAAAAACCACAATATAAATAAATATTTGTTTACCTTTTGCATACTATTTGAAAGTTGTACATCAAATTTTTTTCTTGAGTACTGAAGTCTTGTATGTCTACTTTAATTGCATCTGTTTGGGTTCTTAAAAGTAATTGATCACTGTAAATGTCTTCTACAGTACTTTTGAGGTTGAAGAATGACAGAATCAATATCTGAGTGGAAATTACCTCTGTTGAAGAAAATGGACCACTAAAAATATGAAGTAGTTCTGACTGTTGAGCCTATGTTTTAAAATTTACTTTCAGTTCTTTTTGTAAACACAGCTTAAAAGTAAGAGGGCACTGGGGAGGGGGGAGCAAAGGGAGGGAGTTTGGGTAGTATCTGTAAAACCTCAGTGCTGTTAATACTGAAATTCCTCAGTTCTGCTGGAGAGCCTTGACTTCTCTATTGTTGAAGCTAAACTATTTAATGCATGTCAAGTTTTTCTATAAAACATTTTCCTACCTGCAGCATTTAAAATAAAATCTGTTTTTCTTGACTCCTTCCAGCTGATATTGATGATATGAAGATCTGCTATGTTTTACGAGGGGGTGACAATGCCACCAGTGACATTTTTCATTTCATGGTTGAAGATGGTGGTGAGTACTCCTAAGATCTGTGGGTTTGTTCTTTGAAGACAAAGAGTTTAAGTATACTTTGGGAGCTACAGAACATTGAATTTAATTGAGGGAAGTCTATGTTGCGCCCTGGAATATGATTTTTGTTATGGCTTTCCTATATTGTAAACTATTTCTGATGATTACAAAGAGAGGTGTTGATGAAATGGGAATGATGTCTAAAGACCTCAGCCTACTCTAAGCAAGAAAGTGAAATTCTGTGAGTCTACGCAGATACCTGGACTTTCTGTAGTTTTACCTTTGTGTTCCTTGTCCAGGCCCTTTACACATAAAGTCGTTACCTTGAGAAACTTTCTAAATTTTGATTTGCTGTTATTATTGCCTATGTTTGTAAAGGTTCCAGCTATAAAACTATTCATATGAAAATATTATCTCTGATGTACATATTGTGTAGAGTTCACATTTTGCTTCTACCTACTTCCAACCTGGCTGATTCTATGATTCTAACATAACAGAATACTCAATGACTTGTCAAAGATCTTTGTCAGGGGACTGATGTGAATTCTCCTGACTAATATTATTTTGTAGGAATGTCGTGGATGCAAAAGGAAATGATAAAAATAAATTGAGAATTTTGGCATGTACTTATTTGAGGAAAAATATGTAGCCCTTTTTTTGGGTGGTTTGTTTTTAAAGCACAAGGAAAGAACAGTTTAAGGGATAAGCAAAATGCATTAGCAGCCATTTTCTTTTCCATTCAAAGTCTGTACTTAACATGGATATTCCTAAAGTAGATATTCCTCTGTGTGGTAACAGGTGGCTAGATTATGTTACTTTGATACCTTTTTTTAATATGTGGTACATAGCTCTATGAGTAATTGGCAATGAATTTTATTAGTTGATTTAATAATATGCTTCTTAGAAAAAATGCTTCAAGTTAGCTTATTGTCAGATCATGTCTACACAGCTTGTGTTACTGCTTCACAAGAAGCACAGCCAATTAAGGGTATTAAGATTAGTTAACAGGGATTTGGTCTGTCTGTCACAGATTGAACAGTTTTGTCACCATCTACTATTGCTAGGAGTGGGATATTAAAGCATGTTCTCCTGTTCATTGTGCTGGACAAGCACAGAAGAGACAGCACCTTTAGAGACTTTTGAAAATGCATTTGCAAATCTGTGTAACGTCAGAGACTAAGTAGTGAGATAGAAGTTTGTAACACTTGACCTATTTTCCGTAAATGTTTTCTTTTAACTGAGACAGAGGTTAGAGAAACTTAAAGCTAAGTGAAGACAATGGAACATGGGATGCTATATTTTCATAGTACTGCCATGACTTTCTTATGACAGATGTCACCACATGGTGACATTGTTCATGATTTTCAAGTTGTTCTTCTGGTAGGTGAGCAAATAGTCCGTCTTGATATGTTTAAAGGTTTCATGTGATGGCAGTAATTAAAGCTGAAGAAAGTTTACTCTTAGTGAGCTGTTTAACATCAGCTCTTAAAACTGAGTTGTCCCTTGAGAACCCAACATTTGTGAGACTTGCCTCCATGCTATTTAACACTACATAGTGGCAAGTACATAGTTAAAGCACATTGTACTTAATGTATTTGGACTCTATACCAAGATTTTTTCATTCATTGTATAGCTTACCTGCCACATCATCTTCTTGGCAGGGTTGTAACAGCCTGTCAATTGTAACAGCATGCTATTTTTCATATTACAATTATTTATTCTGATAACAAGCTGCTTGCTGATTTTTTTAAAGTCTTTGGAACTTGTGACGTTATTGTCTTGCAGACTACTTATCTAGATGCTAAGATGGTCTTTGCTTTCCTGAAGCTGTTTGTTGACACAGTGAAAAATGAGCTGTGCTGCGTTTCAGAATATTTCTGATTTTCTTCTTGACTGAAGATAGTAAAATTGAATTTAAAACTGATGAAGTTGTGACCAAAGAATTAATAATTGTCTATCTGAAATAACTCAGATTTATTAGCAATGATTTTAGAATCTGTAACAGGTAAAAATTCTGACAATTTATTCTAACTATATTCCCACCCTCCTCGGAGACATCAAAGCCAATGTTTTGCAGCTCAGGTATATTTTGGCAGACTTTCAGTGGTACCAAGACTATTGTTTAGTTCTTTTGATTTTAAGCCAGATCATACTAAGAGACTACACACAAGAGCTGAGTGAAAGATGCTGCACAGGTGATCAACATCCACTGTAGAAAGGCACACTTAAGACTTCTGTCTCCTGTATCAGGAATTTTGCAGTAGTAACAGGTTTGTGCTACCATGCAGTGCCTAATGCTATAAATGAAGTAAGTGGGACTTCACTTTAGCTGAATCATGTCATAGTCCCTAAGTGATCCAGTTCAGATCAAGAGGCGTTTCAAAACATGATTCAGTGAATAAATATGTGCTATATAATTCAGCTAATGTTATTTCAAATAAGTAAAAACTCCTGAAATAAGGCACATCTTGCAACCCTGAGTATTTTATATCTTTCAGTGCTTTCATGCCTCAGTGGGAGGACCCTACAACACCAGTTCTTGCTCTCTTCAAATAACATGTACTAGAAAGTTGATTTTGCCCCAGACCTGTAGTGTTGCCTGTAAAATACTTTTCTTCGTGTCTTGGAATATTTGTTTGTGGTCTGTGAACTGCAAATAGGAGAAGGCCATGAGTTTCTCTAGCTCCATCTTTTGATGGTTGATACTTTCGGGAACAAATGCAGAAGTTCTTTTGTTAGGCTCCTAAATGATGATGGTCTGACTGGGACCTGAGTCTGTTATCTCAGGCAATTGACTGGAGACCAAGTAGAAGGAGTCATCAAACTGCTCTGGGATGAACTTTAATGTGGATCTGGATTTTTTTTAATTTTCTTACATGAGGTAGTATTTACAGTAAGCAAGTCAGGGCAACAGCAGACTAGGTGGGTAAGTGAGGGGAAAAGAGCCAAGTCAGCACTCTGCCAGATCTTGGCTTCTTGCCTACTAAGTTTCTCACAGTGGGAGTGAGTGCCATGCTGCATACCAAATCGTGACCTAGGATCTGAAAGCATGAAATAAGGTACTGGAACAAGGTTGTTTGCTTATTGACCAGGGGAGAAAACTGCACTATAGATGAATGAAGAATAGGTTGGGGATTATGACAAACTTTCTGATTGTAAATAAAGAGAACAGAAATGGGGTCAATATGAAGAGAAAGCAGGGCCCTTTAAGAGGAAAGAAAGCCCTTAGGACTGTAATTCACAAACGAGAGCATAGGCCTGCTATATGCAAAGCAAAATTAGAGGTTTCACTAGAAAGAACTGGTTGAGGTTTAAAGCTCTGAAAGAGTCTTATTTTCACCATCAATTACCTACATACCTACGACTGTGGTGTTTTTCTGGCTTTAACTGGAATTTTTCCTAAGAGTAATTAAAAAGTAAAATTAATTGAACACAATTCTGTTATTTATCAGCACTAAAGGGTTTTTAAAGGTTAAAAAGTGGTTTTATTCTTCACGTACAGGAATTTAGCCTCAAGATGATCTGCTGTAAAGTGTGCGAGCCCATGAACTTCTGTCATACTTACAAGACAGTGCAGTATATCGGATGTTACTGAGTTAGCTGTGTGACATTTTGAAAGAAACTATTGTAGTTCATATTAACAATTACTTTCCATTTTGTTTTGATCTTAAAATGATCATATGGATACCTGTTATTACTGAAAAAGTATTATGAGTCCATTTTAGCAAAACCTTGAAGAAAGTATGGAATTTTGTCTTCCACAAAATGCAAAATGGTCTCTGTTGAATCACTTTTCTCAGAAGTGGCTTCTACATTCCATTTACAAGGCGGAGAAAGAAACTCTTCATAGCAAGTGCAAGCATATGACAGTGGTGAATCCAGATGTTTACATTATTAAATTTTTAATTCAGTGATGAATACTACCAGAAGGCAG